TCCATGCGCATATCCTTGTTACTCAAGGGTTATTCTGTACATATCATAACAGGGGAGAATGAAAACTAAGCCCCATCTCAATCCCAACACATGCCGGAGCTCCAGGCAAAATAAGAAAGAAAATCCTAAACCTATGTCTTTGGATGCTACCCAAAAGGAATTTGTTAAACGGAAAAGGTTTATCTCCTTCTGCTGCTGCTATCGCCCGGCGCTGTAAAATACACTGGACTTTTAACAGCGCTAATCTCTTTTGCCTGTCTCAACTCCCAGCACAATCTTCAACGCCTGATGTTCAAAAAAAACCCATGTTATTTCTTGCTAAGCCTTACAAAGTCAGCACAAGCAGCATACGAGAGGACCAACCACAGCAGCCAACCCCATATTGGGTCCTGTGTGCTGGCTTCGTTGCCTATAGGCCAGTGGTGGCAAACCGTTTTCGGCTCCCGTGCCGATAATTGCACACACGCTTGTGCGCGCGCATGCCAGCATCCAGAAGGCAATGTGTGCTGCTCCCCCCAAGCCCCGCGCCTGTGCGCGCAATCCCCTTGCAGCGCTGTGCGCCTGCACATAGGCATGCAATTCCCCTTGCCGCGTGCCGCGCGCCTGTGCATGCACGTGCAATCACCCCGCTGCACGCCGCGCGCCTCTGCGCATGTGCACGCAATCATTCCTGCGTGCCATCCCTCTGCGCGCCGCACATCTCTGCGCATGCGCCCAGCCCCCCCAGCACGCGCTGCATGTCTCTACGCAGGCACGCATGCCTCCTGTGCAGCCCTGCCCCCTCCTGTGCATGCGCGCCAGATATCTGGCAATCAGCTGTCGGGCGGCGGCACACACACATATGCAGTGGGGCTCTTCCGGGCAAGCTCTCATGTGCCGGGGAAAATGGCTCTGCATGTCACTTCTGGCACGCATGGTATAGGTTCGCCATCACAACTATAGATAGTCTTCGGCATATGACCACAATGGAGCCCAACATTTCCGTCGCTAACCAAGACAGATTAAGTGAATTTTTGCCCCTCCAAGTGATTTGTAATTTTCACTACTAATGGAGTCGAGGGTTTTTCTGTTCTACATGCCCAAGCTGGGAACAGGCCTGACATTTTCAGGAATCTCTTAACTTTAGCGCCCCACCCCCACCCCCAAGAAAGATCAATTTCTGGCAGATCTAAATAATAACTACAGAATAACAGAGAGGGAAGTGACCTTGGAAGTCTTTTAGTCCAGTACTGACCCAGGCTTCCTAAACCGTAACTGCACACAGACTTATTTTAAAAACAAGATTTAGTTTTTTTGCAATGCTGGGAATTGTTTTCATTCCCAGCTGGAATTAATCCAAAACAGTTCCCTGAGATCAGCACCCACCTTTCAGTTCTGTGAAGCGCTGCCAAAAACAGAAGTATCAAATGAACTAGAAAAGAAACCAACCGAAGTACAAAACAAACCCAACCGAAGTACAAAAAGCTTCCAGTATGACTCTGAATCGATCGACTTTGCTTCCTGCAAAGGTTTTGTCATCTTGGCCTGACTTTTATACCTTATGGGAGGGGCCATCATCTCCCAGCCTTACTCCCGAGTTGTCCCTTTTGTCTCGGCTGCTCTCACCTTCTAGCAGCTCTGCGCGCACGCACACTGAGAACAGGCTCCCCTTGTTCCTCTTCGTCACTGCTGCCAGACTCTGAAGGCTCTGGAGGCAGCACTCCCACTCCCGGATGGTCCTGGCCCCATCTGTGCATCGGATGCAGGACCCTCGCCCGAATCCTCCCCAGACTCCCGGACTGGTCCCCGTTCTTCCCCACTGTCCAATTCCGCTGCCATCTGCACAGGCAGGAAACCCTCTTCTGTTAAGGTAATAATGGAAGATGGTGGGGAACAGAAGGATTTATACTCCTTGCAGACAGCCGGTCATTTGCATCCTTTTAAGAGGGTCGTTGAGGCCACTTGGAGGTTTGTCTGTGTCCTCAGGATCACCTGAGTGGTGCAAATGGGTGTGGAGCCTTCTTGGAACTGCTGAAAGGACTGTGTTGTAGAATGGAGACATATCACGTTGTATCTCTCCCTCATTTGCAGCCCTCAGGTGACCCTGAGGGTATATACAAACTTCCAAGTGGCCTCAATGATTGTCTAAAAAGGATGCAAATGACCAGCTGTCCGCATGAAGCATAAATTGTTCCGTTCCCCTCCATTCAGTCAGAGCTGAAGAAGCTTCTGGGATGAGAAGGGAAACGTCTTCAAAGAAAAACCAGAAAGTCCAGTTGCCTCTTGGGAGGGGGAAAAAGGCATTTTGGGGACAATCAGGATGACTGAGAAACTCCATAAACAACGAAAGCAGGAGTTCTGCTTATTCAGCTTCCGAGATAATTTATCCTTCTGACTTCCAGACGTTAAGATGCGGTTCGTGAAATTTGGTATCTTTTCTGCAGTGCTATTCATAACCTGTCAATACAGGTAGTCCTCAACTTACGGCTACAATTCACCCCAATACGCTAAGCGAGTTTGGCTCTGTTTTACGACCCTTCTTGCCACCGTTGGTAAGTGAAACCCTGCGGTGGCTAAGCTAGCGGCATAGGAAGTGAATCTGGCTCCCCCGTTCTCTTTACTTAGCCGACGGTCGCAAAAGAGGAATCACAACACAACCCCCGAGGATACCGTCGTAAGTGAGAGGCTGTTGCCAAGCCCCTGGATTTTGATTACGTGACCAAGGAGATGCTGCAACGGTCATAAGTAGGAGAAACTATCATAAGCAGAGGTGGGATTCAGCCGGTTCACACCGGTTCATGCGAACCGGCTGTTAAATTTGCATCGGGTTCGCCGAACCGGTAGTTGAAATGACCAGGAGTTTCCACACAGCCCGTTTTGGATGCAGGTAAGTGCAGGATCCGCGGGGAGGGAGGAAAATGGCCCGAACCGGAAGTACCAGAAGTTCGGAAAGGAGCCTGTTTCTAGCTTCTGGAGCACGGGGGGAGGCCATTTTCACCACCACCCCCAGAGGCCTGAAACCTCCAGATTCTGGGGAAGGCAAAAAACGGCCCTCCCCCAAAGTTCTGGTATGCCACACCCACTATGGCCACACCCACCCAGCAAGCGGGCAGCGAATCGGTCACTGGGATATATATTTTTTTGAACCCTATCCCTGAACCCAATTCATTTTTTTTCAGGGCCGTCGTAATTCCAAACGGACCCCAGATGAAGACGATCCGATATCAAGGACTATCCGATATCACAGGGCGATGGCGTCCGTTCTTTCTTCCTACCTTGAACCTAAAAAATTGTGGATATTTTTCTTTTAAAAAAAAAAACGTTGCGCAAGACGCAACAGGCTTTGGTAGCTACAACCGGGAGATCTAAAGGGAATCACTCCCCCACCGCAGAACGTGTCAGAAGAAATGCAAACGGTGCCCGGGTGGCCCGGCGGCACAAGGCTTGGAACGTGGCCGCCTCTGATTTCCCGTAAGGGGAATACAGGTAGAGGAAAAAGCCGAGGAAAGGACGTCGGAGTAGAAGAGGTGGTGGAGCAGGTAAACAAGCGAGCCACGTTGGGTGGGTTTTCCCAACCCACCCCTCCCCGCTTCCCAAACCGTGGCGAGACTGACAAACCGCGCGCCGCCCCGATTGCCGGTGGCCGTGTCGCTTTGGCTTCCCTCAAAAGAGCCCACAAACGCACGGTGAAGAGGACGCATATCAAAGCAGGGAGAGCTAAGCAAATCCCCGGCCCGTTTGGTATGCAGAACAGTGACGGTTTACTTCCATATTAATTAGGAACATATGCCTGGCATCTCCCATCGTCCCCCCCCCCTCCCCGTCTAGGAATAGGGGGAGGGTGGTGGTGGGAAGGAACGGGAGGAAGGGGAGAACGGTGGCAGCTTGTCAAGGGACTCCAAAGGAGGGAGGGAGGGAGGGAGGGAGGTTGATTTTGAGAGGGAGGAAAGAAAGGAAGGAAGAAAGCAAGGAAGGAAGGAAAGGAGGGAAGAAGGAAGGTTGATCTTAAGAGGGATGAAAGGAAGGGAGGGAGGGAGGGAGGGAGGGAGGGAGGAAGGAAGGAAGGAAGGAAGGAAGGAAGGAAGGAAGGAAGGAAGGAAGGAAGGTTGATCTTAAGAGGGATGAAAGGAAGGAAGGAAGGGAGAGAGGGAGGAAGGAAGGGAGGAAAGAAGGAAGGAAGGAGGGAGGGAGGGAGGGAGGATGGGAGGAGGTTGGTTGATTTTAAGAGGGAGGAAAGAACGGAAGAAAGCAAGGAAGGAAAAGGAAGGTTGATCTTAAGAGGGATGAAAGGAAGGAGGAAGCAAGGAAGGAAAGGAGGGAAGAAGGAAGGTTGATCTTAAGAGGAATGGATGGATGGATGGATGGATGGAAGGAAGGAAGGAAGGAAGGAAGGAAGGAAGGAAGGAAAGGAAAGGAAAGGAAAGAAGGAAGGTTGATCTTAAGAGGGATGAAAGGAAGGAAGGGAGGGTGCATTTCCTATATTATTATTATTATTATTATTATTATTACACTCTGATGCTAAGGAGTCCTACTCCCCCTCCCCACCTGAAATGAAATCTCTTCCAAATGCAAAACACAAGCAGAGGAGTTTCGGTTTTAGTTTCACTTTCACAGCACCAAGCAGCTTTAGGACAGAACAGTTGAGCTAAGCCACGCCCAGGCTCCTTGCTGTCTCCGTCTTGCTCGCACAGCAAATATTCGTTCAGTTTCCAAACAGCCCTCCACTCTCTCACACACTGACAGGACGCTAGCCGGGTGAATACCAATGGATGCCGGTAGGCAGAGGCAGGAATTTCTCCCCCCTTATTTTCCTCCCCCAAAAACTAAGCCCAACCACCTCGTTCCGTAGCGAAGCACGGGGATCCAGCTAGTTTCTAATATAGTTAGACTCCAGATATGCCATCCGGGCACACGGACCCAGCAACACAGCCATCGATAAAATATGAAGGGCAGGAAGGGCTGGGCGGGGTGGGGTGTGGTGGGGAGAGAGGTTGGAGTGATGGGAAGGGGCAACTTCTCACCTTAATGCTACCTCCGATGAGATCTGGGGGCGCTTCGTCCGTTTCCAAGGCGACGTTGATGGAAGCGAAGGGGCGGCTGGCCATCTGTTGCATCTCTCGGAGTAATTGCTGGGGAACAAAAAAGCCAGGATGTTAATATTGGGGTGGGGTGGGAGGAGACAAGGCCAACCTCTGTGCTCAGAGTGGAAATATTTTAGTTTTGTAAAACTGGCATTGAAAGCCATCTGTCAGGATGCCAGCAATCGCCCTAATGAAATCATGATTCTCGAGCCAAACTTCAAAAAACTTCAAAGGATTTATTAGAGGCGACCTACTGGCCCTGCTCTGGATGAAGCCAACTCTGGCCTACGTCATTTACAGTCCCCTGGGACCCTGTTTCCCCCTCCTCCCCCCCCCCCCCGGGTGTGTCATAAATCAGAATCTCCAACTGAGCACGTTCATAGGTTGGGTGTCGTCAATCACGTTCTCCAATTATGGGCTGGGCGTCATTAATCACATTCTCCAATTAAATATATTCCCAGCCAAAAGCTCCGGTAGTTTAGTTACAATCTTTTAAAGAGAAGAGTTGGAATGTACTTTCGCTTCCAAACTGCTGCACGGATCTTCCAGATTTCTTTCCTCCCCGCTTTTTTTACGGCAACTACTAAAACAGGCATAGCAATGTTTTATGAGTTGACACCGGTAGAATACCACCCCTGCACTGCAGGTGTTAAGTTAGTCACACAGTTGCTCAGTGAATTGGCTTTGACATGTCAGTAGGTCACAAAAAGGGATCGTGTGACCACTTTAAGTCACTAAATAAAATGTTCTAAGTCAAGGACTATCTGCACCCAAAAAAAATCTCCCCAAACCCCAAGCCCTGCTAAAATGTGGGAGCTTCATCACTTGAGACTTTCAAGTAGAGATTGGACTGTGGTATAAGGTTTCCTACTTGGGCCGGGAGGGGGTTGGACTAGATGACCTGCAAGGTCTCTTCCAACTCTGTTAATCTACATCAAGGCTCTTCCAACTTGGCCAGTTTAAGACTTGTGGACTTCAACTCCCAGAATTCCTAAGCTAACATGACTGGAGGAGGAATTCTGGGAGTTGAAGTCCACAAAGTCTTAAAGCTCTCAAATTGGAAGATCCCTGATTTAAATCTAATATCAGCATGGCTGGCTAGGGAAATTCTGGAAGTTGAAGTCCACTTGGCTTAAATCAGCCACCATAGTTGAGAACCTAAAAGAAACTTTCAATTCTCTTTGAAGGGAATTTTCTTTTTCTTTTTTTAAAAAAAAATAGATTTTATTGAATTTACAGTTTAAAAACACATCAACGGTACATTTACAAAATAGAAAGAAAACGGCTGAGGGGAAAGAAAGAAAACACCCGGCCTAACACACCGGATAAGGGCCGGTTGAGGGGAAGAGAAAAGATATAGAAGGGAGAGGGATGGAGAATAGGGTAAAAAGTACAATTAAAAGCGAACGATATCTTTTTGTGACAGTCTGTAAGGATCATTTCTCTTCGTCATATCCAATCTACTCCTCTTTTCCATTATGTTTAAGTTACTCTTCATCATTTACATAATTTGTCTCTGTGTAAGCCAATTATACCATGAGTCCCAGGTGTCGTAAAACATTGAGGACTCTTTGTTTTTTAGCGCTATAGTTAGTTTATCCATTTCAGCACACTCGCAAGTTTTCTGAATAACCATTTGCTCTGAAGGCGTATGAGGTGATTTCCAACATTGAGCAAACGCTAATCTAGCCGCGGTTAGAACATGGATTATTTGAAGGGAATTTTCAATACAGGCAGGCCTCGAGCTACGACCATTCATTTAGGGCAGGGGTCTCCAAACTTGACAGCTTTATGATTTCTGGACTTCAACTCCCAGAATTCTTCCTCCTCCTCCAGTCATGGTTAGCTCAGGAATTCTGGGAGTTGAAGTCCACAAGTCTGAAACTTGCCAAGTTTGACGACCCTTGTGATAGATGGATGGATGGATGGAGATGGATGGATGGGTGAGGAGACAAGACAGACAGACAGACAGACTAGATCAGGGGCCTTCAAACTTGACAGCTTTAAGACGTGTGGACTTCAACTCCCAGAATTCCTTCTCCAGTCATGTTAGTTCACGAATTCTGGGAGTTGAAGTCCACAAGTCTTAAACTTGCCAAGTTTGAAGACCCATTGATTTAGGGACCATTCAAAGTTAGGGCGGCACCGAAAAAAGTGACTTATGACCATTCTTCACACTTTTGACCACGCACACGGTCACATGATTTATATCCGGATGCTTGACAACTGACTCACATTTATGACGGTCGCACCATCCCGGGGGGACGGGGTGTGGGTGTCCTGCAATCCACTTTGGCGTCCTGCTAAGAAGCCAAGTCAACGGGGAAACCCGATTCCTGTAACAATGCTGTTGCTAATTTCACAACTGCATCGATTCGCTTAGTAAAATCTGGCAGGGAAAGTCGCAAAAGGGAGCGAAACCCTCTTTAACAAATTTCTCACTTAGTGTTCTGACCTCGGCTTCCTTTGAAAGCATCCAACACAATCTTAGATCCCGGCAAAACCTTTTTTTATTTCCCACGGCTGTGAATTATGTTCATTCACAGCCTGCCAGGCTTCACAAACAGTCTTTCAGGGGAATGTTGATAAACACCTACTGTCAGGGTTCCAACAATACACCACCCCATTCAAATCAAAAGTCTCTAGCCACATCCCTCATAAATAATAAAATTGATTAGAAGTGGCCATGTTGGTGTTAGCTGGGTGCAGTCGATACTAAAATACATCCCTCATTTCCCCCTAGACCCTGGTCTTCCCCCTCACCCCCTGGATCTATATTCTGCAATGGGACACATCCATAGCCAAGAGTCATGAATCAGGCTCTCCAAGAATAATCTTGCGTGCCAACAGCTTCGGCTGCCTAGCAATTATCTGAAGCATTTAAGGAATGCACTGCTTTCCCCCTCCCTTTCTGATGGCAACTAAAAAGACCAAAGGAGTAGTTTTTAGTTGACACCCACCTTATCGCACTTGGGATGCGGCCAGAAAATGAATTGGCCAGGCGCAGAGCAAGGACAAACTTGGCACAGAGTCCAACAGAACTTGAATTGACCAGATGAACGAATTGCTTCCTGCAAAAGCTCACATCCCCTCTGTTCCTCTTTTATGTCCTATGGGAGGGGCCAATCATCTCTGAGGTGTGGCCTTACTCCCAAGCCGACTCTCAATTGTTCTAGTCTTCTGTAGCTGGCTGGGAACCGGCTCCAAAAGCTCCCCCATCTCACTGCTGTCCGAAGCCCGAAGGCAGCTGCTGACCGCCAGCCTGCCCGGCCCCATCTCTGCCTCTGATGCAGAGCCCTTGTCCGAGCCCTCCCCAACTTCCAAGGCTGGTCCAGGTTCCTCCCCAACCCGCTTGCTACTGTCCAACTCTGCTGCCAGCTCCATCAGCCTCCAGCGGGCCACAACACTTAGCAACTTAAGTTTCGGTCTCAGTTGCGGTCCTAAGACGAGGACTACTGTAATAATAATATGATATTATTATTATTATTATTATTATTATTATTATTATTATTATTACTATTAATGTTGTTGTTGTTGTTATTATTATTATTATTATTATTACAGAAGTTCTCGACTTTCTTTATATAAATCCATTTTTTCCTTTCCTTATATAAATGCATTTCGTTAAAACAAAAAAAGAGAACGGTTGTGTTCCCAGCAGCTGTGCAGTAAGTTATACGATGACAAGTCTTCAGATTCATTTTATTATTAGGGAGGTGTCTGGTTTTTTTTTTTCTCCACCGTCATTTTTAAACCCCCTCTTTCTGCATATTAGTTATACCATTTGGTTTATCTGTGAGCCAAGAAAGCAAAGTGGACTAACGGGTGCCAAACAGAAAAAGAAAAAGAAAAAAAAAGGTGGGGGGGAAGGTTTTAGAAGTTACAAATATAGATAAAAAGAATTAGAACCATAAATCTGGTACTCTCAGTCAATAAAACTGAAAAAAAAACCCAAACTGTGACAAAAATCTCATTTTTATTGGACGGATCCTTTTCCTGAACGGAAAAGAGGTTTAACCTCAGAGATTGTGGGAGCTGCTTCATCCCTGGAGGCTTTCAAGAAGAGACTGGACTGCCATCTGTCAGAAATGGGGTAGGGTCTCCTGCTTGGGCAGGGGGTTGGACTAGATGACCCACCAGGTCCCTTCCAACTCTGTTAATCTGTATTTGATTTATCCCCCCCAAGAGGGGAACCTACTATACTGCAGATCAAAGGGCCATTATGTTCTAATGCCAGAAGCCTGAGATAGATAGATAGATAGATAGATAGATAGATAGATAGATAGATAGATAGATAGATAGATAGATATGACAGATAGAGATGATAGAGAGATGATAGATAGATAGATAGATAGATAGATAGATAGATAGATAGATAGATAGACAGATGACAGATAGAGATGATAGAGAGATGATAGAGAGATGATAGATAGATAGACAGACAGACAGACAGATGACAGATAGAGATGATAGAGAGATGATAGATAGATAGAGAGAGAGAGAGAGAGAGAGAGACAGATGACAGATAGAGATGATAGAGAGATGTTAGATAGAGATAAATGGATAGATAGATAGATAGATAGATAGACAGACAGACAGACAGACAGATAGACAGGTATAGATGTTTTAGATATAAGATGATAGATAGATGATAGATTGATAGATGATAGATTGATAGATGGATAGATAGATAGATAGATAGATAGATAGATAGATAGATAGATAGATAGATAGATAGATAGATTTCCATCCAAAAGGCAGGGCCGGATAGGATCTCATATTTGATCACACGACAATGGGGATGAGGCAACAGTCATTAAGTGCGAAAGATGTTCGTAAGTCACTTTTTTTCCCAACGCCGTTGTAATTTCAAACGGTCACTAAACGAAACTGTGGTAAATTGTATCTGCTTGGTATAGCACCGCTTCTGGGTCACAGCAACTTTCAAGTTATGTAGACTTCGAGTCCCAGAATTCCCCAGCCGGTCATGCCCCCCCTCTCCCCCGAGAATCCTGGGAGTTGGTAGTCTATACATCTTCAAGTTACTG